AATACGTGCGCGCGGGCACGCAAACCGAGGGAACATGAAGTGCCTCGAAATGCGTGCGCGCGGGCACGCAAACCGAGGCGATGGCATACGCAATGCAATGAAATCGAGGCATGATGGCCGAGGAGTCGAAATGCACAACTCAATATAGGATGAATGCACATGAAACTACAGCTAAAACCTAACTCCATCATGGATAATCCGGAGTGTCGGTGACTGGGGAATTGAGACACATTCCGTCACTCGGAGTACGAAATGTACCTCGTTTCCCGTGCCCGGGCTAACTCCTATTCCGGACATGATGCAATATGCATGGTATGCATGAAATGCAACTAAGATGCAATCCTATCATACACAATGCTACGAAAATGAGATGCCTCGAAATGCGTGCACGCGGGCACGCAAACCGAGGCGATGGCAGAATGCAATGAAATGAGATGCCTTGAAATGCGTGCACACGGGCACGCAAACCGAGGCGATGGTAAATGCGGTGAAAATGAGGTGCCTCGAAATGCGTGCACACGGGCACGCAAACCGAGGCGATGATAAATATAATAAAAATGAGACGCCTCGAAGTGCGTGCACACGGGCACGCAAACCGAGGCGATGATAAATGCAATGAAATGACATGGAAATGACAAATGGGCTTATACCAACATGAGTGAGCCTCAGCCACACTCACATAGGATGTCGTCGGATAAAAATAAAGTGCCTCGAAATGCGTGCGCACGGGCACGCAAACCGAGGCAATGAATGCAATGAAATGACATGGAAATGACAAATGGGCTTATACCAACATGAGTGAGCCTCAGCCACACTCACATAGGATGCCGGCGGATAAAAATGGAGTGCCTCGAAATGCGTGCACACGGGCACTCAAACCGAGGCAATGGCAAAATGCAATGCAACATGGCAAAAATGATATGCAAGCATTCTAACAGAATTTCAACAACAAAATATGGGGGAAAACAGTCCCGAAATGAAGCGAAATGACATGAAATGCAAGGAAACGTCCCGAAATGCGAATTTAGGCACCCGAAATGGCCTATAGCTATGCTAAACATGCACAATATGGACATGAAATGCAAATACAGAAGCTAGAAAGTCCCAAAAGATGCACTTTCACAGTGTTAAACAAGGCCAAACAGCAAGCATAGGTAGGGGAAAAATGGCATGCAAGAATAGGGGCCAAAAGAGGGGTAATGAAGCAAGTGATATAAGCAAAACCCAATATGAAAAATTTCCTTCTACAACACTGAATATGGACCAAAAATATTAACATTTACAGTATATGGCAGCCTCAAAATCAGTATACAAATATGCTAAAAATGTGATGCAAAACAAGGCTCAAAAGGTGCTATAACATGAAGTATGCAAAATAATCACCAAACAGAAAAAAAGTGTTAATGAAACATGAAGTATAGGCCAAAATAAGGCCACTTTCAGTTTGGACCAAGGTCCAAAAACAGAAGCAAAGGGGGCTGCCAATTTATGCAAAAATGGGGCCAAATAAGGGATATAACTACAAGTGACACATGGAGGCACCAAACAATGTTGAGCCCTTCTCCAATGTTGAAGAGGGGCTCAAAATAAGCCTAATATCAGTTGTAATGTCTAACTTAGCCAATTTTTATCTAGATTTGTGATTTTGGGCTCGCAAAATGGCTGCCAAAAGAATGGACTCACCACACTGTATCAAAATTTGAAGGCACATTTGGGTATGTGACCCCAAAACCCTTCACTTTAAAGCTAATGAAGGGTTGTTTTAATTTTTCGTTGTCTTCAACAACAGCTATTTTGCTCCGGAATACTTCATGTATGGAATAGTGGATGAGAAAACTGATGTGTTTTCTTTCGGGGTGCTACTGTTAGAACTCATTACAGGCCGTGAAGCTTTGGATGATTCACAGCAAAGCCTGGTGCTTTGGGTGAGTTTGTTTCTACAAGTCCTGTCATACTGTCACCTTTTTGGCTTGTAGCTCTTATCAAAGTCATTTAGATAATGATTTGAAGTTATTTGTAGGCAAAGCCTTTGCTCGATAACAATAATGTCAAGCAACTTGTGGATCCTTCTCTTGGTGATAATTATGACCTAGAAGAGATGGATCGTGTCATCTTAACTGCCTCTTTGTGCATAGAGCAGAGTCCAATTCTACGTCCTCGAATGAATCAGGCATGTAACCTTTTACAAGGACATAATTTTCATTACCTTTTGATCCATGGTTAAATCAGGTTCGCATTCACACAAGTATTTCAGTGATAAACCCTGTTTTTCCGCAGATAATGACATTTCTGATTTCAATGTGTAAACTAGTGAATAATAAATTCAGAATTTGATATGCAACCATTTTAAGACTGCTGCTTTTTTAGTTTCTTTGCTTCTTATTCATATATGGTCTTCTACTTATTTTCCCTTCAGATGAAAGAATTGACAGTTTCCTATTCTATGTTTTCTTTTTTGCCGCTGGGAAGAGTGGAAAAAGGAATATGAATCTGTTTGGGAAAACCTGAAATCAATTTTCCTCTTGAAACAGGAGGGGCAGCCTGCTCTGATTTCACTGGACTTGGGATGAAGGAGCATAAAGAAAGGAGGTGAAAGGACCAAAATGCCCTCGGATTTGGTCATATAGCCGGCCGGCCACCTTTTCTAGCCGGCCGGCCAGCCTTTTCCTTTTTGGAAAACCAGCCGGCCAGCCAATTCCTTTTTGCAAAAGTGGCCGGTGGCCTCCCCTTGGGAAGATAAACGGCCGGTGATGTCCCCCACATGCCCACTGGGCAAAATGGCCTACGGCCACCAAATGTAGCCTACGGACATTGAGAGATGGTCTTCGGGACCTCTCCCTCCCTTCAAGAAAAGAAACAGAGAAAACCAAGTCTGGTTCGCAAACCGAGAAAGGCACAGAAAAGGGTTCGGAAGTCCGGAGGCAGGGCTCACGGCCGTGACTCTGAAACTTCTGAACGAGCACATTATGCAATATCACCGAGTGCTCAACTGGTGACGTCTGAGTCTCAAGGTCGGTCAAAAATGGGGTGTCTACAGTTGCCCCTCTTTGACAGAACTCGGAAGTCATAAGAATGACGGGAGTGAATGTCAAAGCCCAGAGACGACCCATTTTTGACAAGGCCGAAGACTTAGACAAAGCAGACAAGATAGACAAAGATGTGCCCGCAGGCAGGGGCGAAATGCAAATGATATGCAAAAAGCCGAAGGTAACCCAATGATTGTGCAAATGCAGCAAGCTGTGATGAAGCAATTATTCGCAAATAGATGCAACAGTTTTAAGCAAGAATGCAAAGCAACAACTACATTTCATGCAGTTAGGGATGTGGAGGATTATTCAATCCCCGCCACGTCTCACACGGAGAAGATTTATTCAATCTCCGCCATGTCTCACACGGAGAAGATACGATACCTGCGCGTTTCGTCTGGTTGCGCCAGTCTCAATTGAATCGTACATACAATATCGTGCATGCAAAAGAGAGAAATTGCAACAAGTACAATATGCTAACAACACATATTTGATGTGATTCCGAAAATTCGACACACGCAGTGTTGGTGAGTGAATCCATCGCAATGCAAGAACGGAACATGCGTGACAACGCATGCTCAAACACAGAGGTATACAAATATCAAGAAATGTACATGACAATGTGAGTATGCCCATGAGAATGCAAGATATGTGCACGATAGTACAAAACGAGCATGAATCAGGGTGTTCATTTGTCGTAAAACAACGAGTATGGAAACGCGTGTTTCGGCGAGGGTAACTCGATCACGGCCTCCGATCTGCTTCTTTGAAAGGTTACAACTCATTCAAAAAGGATACACTTTGATTTCGATGAATGATGATGAGACATATGTCAGAACTTGAGGCCGAAGTCCCGACGGAACGATTTCACGACCGGAAGTGTACTTTTCTTGAACTTTTTCAGGTCCCGGGAACTCCGATCTTCCTCAAAATTTGCAGAGAGCTAGGTGAGCATATGGGGAGCATGGCCGGTCATTTATCTTCCCAAGGGGGGGTGGCCAACCGGTTTCTAAAAAAGCTAATGGCTGGCCGGCCATTTCTGCAAATAGCAGATGGCTGGCCAGCTAGAAATAGGGGCCGGCCGACCATGGTCTTTTTCCGGGGCAATTTTGGTCTTTTCCCCTCCTTTTGGCATGCCTCTTCAACCAAGACTCGAGGCTTATAAAAGGCAGCCGAGCCCCCCTCCTTTTCTTGCCTCTTTCAACACTTTCCTCTCCAGATCTGAGTTTCACGCGCATTTTCCAACGCCCCGCGCAAATTGTTTTCACAAAAACACTCAGTTTTAAGCACTTTGGAGCGATTAAATTCCGGCTTCGGAGCTTCTTTTTGCATTTTCACCACTTGAGGTAAGTTTATCTTAATATTTGGAATATTTTCTCGGGAGTTGACTTTTGTTGACTTTTCATTTCCCGAGAGTTGACTTTTGTTGACTTTTTCCAATTTTTGCTCATTTTGCTCATTTTCGCTCCCCTTTTGCAGATTTTTAAAAATGGCGAGCAATTCTCCTCACGGTGGAGGTTTTCCAGGTGCCGGGGATGATTTCAATCCCATGACTCTACCCCCGAGGACCCGACCATTCATTCCCGAGAGGTACCGTCCGTCAGCACACGTCCTCCCTCGTGCTGTCTTCCGTCACTTTACCAGTTTTGACGAGCGAGCACCCGGGGATCTGCTTCTCGGAGAGCCGGAGCAGCATCTCTCTCACGAGGCCCGAGAGGTATTTACCTCATCTTCTGTATTTTACATTTCGCACCTTTGCCATGCTTGAACATGCAGTTTAGCTTATGACATAGTACTTTGCTTACATCTTGAACATGTAGCTTCAACCTTTGAATTTCTGAACACTCAGCTCATCAATTAATTGTGAACGCACAGTACATATTAGTTAAGAGGCGAACACACGGCTCAAACACTGATTTATCGAACACGCAGCCCGAATTCGAAAGTGAACACACAGCCCACACTTTAAAATTTCTGAACACGCAGCCCAGGTAGATAGTGAACGCAGCCCACAATAGTTGAAATTTTGAACACGCAGCCCAAACTTTCAAATTTTCTGAACACGCAGCCCAGGTAGAATAGTGAACACGCAGCCCACAATGATAGAAAGTTGAACACGCAGCCCAAACTTCAAATTTTCTGAACACGCAGCCCAGGTAGATAGTGAACACGCAGCCCACAAATTAACTGAAAGTTGAACACGCAGCCCAAAATTCAAATTCGCTGAACACGCAGCCCAGGTAGATAGTGAACACGCAGCCCACAATTAACTGAAAGTTGAACACGCAGCCCAAAATTCAGATTCTCTGAACACGCAGCCCAGGTAGATAGTGAACACGCAGCCCACAAATTAACTGAAAGTGGAACACGCAGCCCAAAATTCAAATTCGCTGAACACTCTGAACACGCAGCCCAGGTAGATTTCGCATGTAGCTTATTTCACTTCATCGGCACACAGCCCATTTCATCTCATTGGCACGCAGCCCATTCATTTCATTGGCACACAGCCCATTTCATTTCATTATTGACACATGTATTCATTCTGACTGCAGTAGCTTATTTTACTTCATCGGCACACAGCCCATTTCATCTTATTGGCACACAGCCTATTTAGTTCATTATTGACACATATATTCATTCTGAATGCAGGGTGGTTCCCGCAGTGTACGAGGATATGGTTCCACTATGGCGCGGGATTGGTATGCTGAGCTCCCGGAGGGCGTCAGAGACTTAGTAGACTTGGCGGGGTTTGGCCCCTTCTGTGTCGGGTTGTCACGCTGTCCTGCCAGGAGGACCTTGATGGCAGCTCTGGTAGAGAGGTGGTGGGACACCACCAATTCCTTTCATTTCTCTGCTACCGGGGACATGACCATGACCCCTTTTGACTTTGCTGTATTGACCGGCCTTGATGTCGGAGGTTGGCCCATCCCCTATGATGAGGATATGGGCGAGTGGGAGGCCGCCTGGATGTATTTGTTGGGGGCTCGCCCACCCGTTGATAGGGTTTCAGGGAGATTCAGATACACTTGGTTCTCTTCCCATTTTCGGCGGGCAGAGATGGTGCCCGAGACTCCCGAGGAGACAGAGCAGTATGCTCGTGGCTTCCTGATGTTCCTCTTCGGGACTACCCTGTTCGCCGACAGAGGGAACACCATTGGGCTATACCTGTTGAGCGCTCTGGTTGACCTATCACAGGTCAGTAGATATGATTGGGGTGGCGCTGGCCTGGCTACCCTCTACTTTTACATGAGCGCGACCTCCCGCGGGCGGGGCGATTTGCTTGGGCAGCCCACAAATTAAACTGAAAGTTGAACACGCAGCCCAAAATTCAAATTGGCACATAGCCCAAATTTCTGTTGGCACACAACTCATTCATCTCATCGGCACACAGCCCATTTCATCTTATTAGCACACAGCCCATTTCATTATCATTGGTATACAGCCCATTTATTTCATTATTGACACATATATTCATTCTGAATGCAGGGTGGTTCCCGCAGTGTGCGAGGATATGGTTCCACCATGGCGCGGGATTGGTATGCTGAGCTCCCGGAGGGCGTCAGAGACTTAGTAGACTTGGCGGGGTTTGGCCCCTTCTGTGTCGGGTTGTCACGCTGTCCTGCCAGGAGGACCTTGATGGCAGCTCTGGTAGAGAGATGGTGGGACACCACCAATTCCTTTCATTTCTCTACT